CATGCATCTTTATACGTTGGATGCTGATGTCCATCGACTTTACGTATATCTTGAAATGACAATGAGCCGGTGACATTAACCAACAACATTCGAAGATAAAAGCACTAAGTCTGCCTTGGATTGACTGTAAATGCTCTCCCCAAGGCGTTTGATTTGAATAAACCGGGACAACGGCCTTCATCGGTGTGCCTTGCTTGCGGGAAGTCCATTTCTTTTTGTTTGAGCCCATGTGAAATAGTGTGGTACTTCTGAACAGAGTAATGTCTGTGCAAAGGCATCAAACGCATCCGCACGATTACACAATTCAAAAAAATTCGGTGAGTGTAGTTCTTGGTGGATTTATAGCTCTGTCAATCGCTGTCTCGTTCGTGAAATATACGCGCTGACCGTTTTCAAGATGGACGGCTAAATGACTAACGGTAGGATCATGAATAGGGAATCCAAAGTTGCGACAAACAGCTTCATTGGAGCTGATGTACCGGCCAATTTGGTAGAGCGTTATTTCGTCGTTGTTATTCACTGGAAAAGCGGTCACATTGGTATTTTCAACTCGAAATACTGCCATATCACTGCCTTTATTCACATACTTGCAAATATATTTGATGCTCTTCTTTTAAGGGCGAGCATAAGTATTAGAGTTTAAAGTGAATTGTTGCAACGTGCGTGAATATTACTTTTGATTAATTATGTTTCTATGTCTAGTTTGGAATCGTTTAAATAAAGATATATTTAAAATATACGTTAAATCTGTCCAAAAAATGAAAAAAAAATTAGTTATAAACCTATTCTCATACCTACTGAATATACATATAAAATTTCATCAAAATCGATCCAGCCGTTTAGGAGGAGTTTAACCACTAAAACTGTGACAAGAGATTTTTATATATATAGATATATATATATATATATATATAGATAGATAGATAGATAGATAGACAGATAGAATTCTCCGATGAAGAAAAAGAAGGGAAGAAAAAATTTAGATTTGAGATTAATAGCGATTTGAGTGAAGAAAATAGAGAAATAAATAATACCAGTAGTGAATCTGAGCAATATATTACGAACAGCGATGATAATAATTATTCAGGTGAAAGAAATGATGATATGCTACATGTTGGCATACGATTACCTAAATTATTTGCATGAAATGCTGTGTGATTTTCTAACATATAGATATCTCTTTTAGAATTCCATTTTTCGGTTATTAATCTACCCTGTTTATTTGCCAGTGTTTTAGTTTCATTAATTTCAAATTTTTTAGTAATAAATAAAAATATTAAAATTAAAGTTGATTTAAAATTAGTTTCTGTAACTAGTTATTTATTTTCTCGATTTGTTTCTTAGTTTTTTCAGCCAAGGTTTTCTTTTCTAACTTATTTATACTTGCCTAAAATGAATATTAAAACTATTTTAATTCTATGATCTTTGAAATATTATTAAACATTTTTAAATTAAAAATTTTATTTTCAATTAATAGTATGATTATAGAAGCATCCGAATTTGCAATTCTGAATTATGGGAAATTCTAATTAATCTGTGCATATTTAATAATTATTTTTATAATTCAAAAAATATTAAAATTAATGAATTATTATAAATTCTACTTTTTTATCATGCCTGACAAATTTATTTTCATTAGCCTGCCAAATACTAAGCTTTTTGCAAAATGTTTTTTATGGTTGAAGACTTTTAAAGACCGCAAAGCCTAAATTGCAGGGAACGTTTATGAATGGTTAAATTTTATAAGTACATTTAAACACAAATTACAATAATAAAACTTCCTAAAATATGAAGCCTCTTCACACTCCACCTCGTAAGAATATCATAAGCGAAGTGATACACCGGAAGTTTTCTAAATTTCTTCTGGTTTCAGAAAGCTTGTTATTGTTTACATTCAATCAACCATCCATAGTGTATTCTAAATTTAACCATTTATAAACTGTCTTCAGAAACTTTAGATTCTATTTTTTTAGTATTCTTTTTCGCCACATCGTGCTCCACAGAAAAAAAAATGGTTAGAAATAAATTGTCTATTTTTCAGTAAAAGATACTTTTTATAAAATTGTGCAACACTAAATTAGTTGATTAATTTATGGAAAAACATAAAAAAATTACCAGTTATTAATGAGGAAACTAGAGATGAAATACATATCTGGATGTAATAAATATCGCTGTCAGTTCTGCAAAAGTTTTGCGTTTCATGTGGAATTTGTTTGCTTCCGTGGATTAATGGATTATAATTCTTGTTCAGAAACTTTAAAATCAGTAAAACGTCAAAGAAACTCATGGTGCATAAGAATTTACAAAGCAAGCGTTAGAATAGTGATAAGAGTCTGAAAAATATAAAATCTGTTCTTAGCTGTTGAAACATTACATCTTTCATTCAGATATTGCCTGTTTTTATCAAGCTAACTGTTCAAGCATTTCAACAATTGTAAAGTATAGGATTTTCTCATCTGAATTTCCTTCGAAAAAAATATGATTGATAACTTTATTATCAATCATGATATTATCTGACAACTTTTACGATTCTTACTAAAAAAATTTCACATTAGTAGTAGAAAAGCAGAGCAAAAGTAATTAAGTTATACCGAGTTTTTGTAACATTTCATCAGGTTCATTACAAGCGGAAGGTTTAAAATCGAGGTTTTTTTGTATAATTTATTACGTTTTTTTTCTTCACTGTTTTTATTACAATAAATTCAAATCGAAAATTTCAAACTCTAAGTAAAATATCAAAGCATAAAATTTAATACCACTGGAAAATATCGTTCGTAAAAATAGGCAGATATGATAATGTAATAAAGTCAAAACAGTTAATGAACAAAAACTCATCTCGAAACACTAAGCAAAATGAAATCTTAACACTATAAATAAAACGACATTGCTCAACCTAGTGACTAACTTTGCGGTAATGCAAGCGTCATCCTAAAGTATTGTCTAATCAAGGAATTTTTTCAACTGTATTCCCCAGTGCTAATTAACTGATAAAAAGTTTACTTGCAGCTATTACTTGCACTGACATTTATTACAGCTTCCGCAAATTTTTAAGGTTCCCAGAACAGAAACCCTTTTTTTAAAATTTAATTTCTGAAGGGATTCCGTGTTAAATCTTTTTTTTAGTTTTTCGATTGCAGGAAACGATCTCCCAAATTACCTAACATGTTGTTAGAATTAAATACTCCACTACCACATTGCTTTAAAACAGAAATGTTTTTTTGAAATTCAAACCAAAACTGGTTATTTACTAACAAATAATTTGATTACAAATAAAGAGCTTGAACGAAAGAAAAATTTAATTCTACTTACACTTATGAAATATCTAAGAGGTATATATTTACATTCAGTTCGGTTACTTTGTTTCTAAGTTTTAAAATCTGACTAATAATCAACAATTTCGTTGTGATACATAGCATTTAAAATAAAATTATTAAAATTTATTCTTATGCGAGCTCTGAATTAGGTAGAGAGGTTTTTATTTTAATTTAATCCTTTAATGTGTACTTGTACTTCAAAAAGAAGAAGAAGGTCATGATACCCACACACGTGACCTATGGCGTCAGTGCCAGGTGATCGTTTATAATCAAAATGGACCATTAAAGTTGACCTAAGTTTTTCCGCGTGAGCTATAATGTTAGTTAAAATTAAATAATTTAAATACAGCCCCGTATCACACATGGAATTTGTTAAAATGTAATTATTTCTTGCCTATGTCTTTTATTTAACTTAGATTTATTATTTGTATATGTATTTTATTCTTACCGTGATATATTCTTGTTTGTGTATTTGGCAACTTCGATGCATAATTAGTTTCTTTATGTTCAACATGACTTCGCTCCTGTCTTTGTGTTAAGTAAGAAACATATACTGAAAGAATTGAAATCTTTGGGAAGGAATGTAAAATGTGTCACTTAAGAGAACTGATACTAGTCGGGCTTGACTTACTCGAAATAGATTGGAAAGAACAGTTGCTAACGGAAGCACGTTTCTTCAACCAATCAGAATCTAGATATCCACACACCGTCAGTTGCAATTATCCCATTGGGTTTCTCGAAGCTCGAACCTTTTAACAAGAGATCAAGTTCACACAACTCAAATCCCTTAGGAACGAAGAAGAGATTTAATTTTTAAGCGATCAAGATATTTTATTCATAAAAAAAAATTTAATGGTGATATTTTATAAGTCTTAAAAAATTATCAAACTTTCTATAGAATTCTCCAATTCTGGTATTAGAATTTTTCCAATTAGATTAAAATAATTAAATAATTATGAACTTCTGCACATTATTATGTTCTCGAACGATGTAGTGGATTATAGAAGCAGTCTATGACGATTACTTACGAAAGAGTGCAGAAACGATTCTTTTAACCCTTGGGGACGGGTGATTCAGAAAAGCATTCGTACAAAATCAGAATCAAGTTGTAATTAAATAAAAAACGGTAATTTAAATGTAGTCGTTGCTAATCTGACAGACTTACTTTGCTTTTACTTTTATTATTGTTAGTTTAAGCATGTATATAATCAATGTTACATCAAAGTATAAGTAAATAGTTTTATTTTGAACAAAATAATGGTGAATAAAATAAATCAAAAAATTATAACTCCGCCCACAAATCAATTGCTAAAGAATTACTTTGACTACCAGTTTTATCTTTTTACCCCGGTTGATACGGTTTTATGCTGGCACGTATTTGTGACAGTCGGCGCGAAAGNACTACCTTGATACTGGAAATCTTGCTGTAAAACCAAGATGTGGAAGACCTAAGAAGCTTACTCAGAGAGAAGGAAGAAAAATTCTTTTGCTAATTAAACCAAATCCTAAACTTTCTGCTGTAAGTATAACAAAAGATATTTTTTTAACAAGCAATAAGGAAATTTCCCCTGAAACTGTAAGAAAAGTACTGCGAAAGGCAAATTATCATGGACGCAAATCTAGGTCTAAGCCATACATTTCTAAGACGAATCGAATGAAAAGAATTGCTTTAGCAAAAACTTATTTGAACTCCTCGGCAGATTATTGGAACAGTGTAATTCGATCAGATGAAAGTAAATTTGCAATATTTAAAATCAATGGCCACCCTATTGCATACCTGCCAACTTTTAATCCCTTCCATTATCATTTTTCCTAGTGGTATTAAAATGAAATTAAAACATCAATTTTAAGCAAGCAAATACGTTGTATATGAGCAAACTTAAGTTGATAACCTTGTTAGTAACGCATATTAATATATGTGCTTAGTTTTTGTAAGAATAGTGGTGATCAAAATCATTTAAAAATTAAGTTCATAAAAGAAAAAATAGTATATATTTACTACCACTTTAAATATGAAAGCAAAATCTTCCGGAAAATCCGGAAGAGTTGGCAGGTATGCTATTGTATGGAGAAAACCGGGAACAGAATCGAATCTGAGAAATTTAAATCCAACTGTTGAACATGGAGCTGGTGGAGTGATGGTATGGGGATGTACGTCTTCGAATGGAGTTGGAAATTTGCATATTATTGATAAAGTCATGGACAGGTATGTTTATTTGGATATTTTAAAGAAAAATCTACCAGAAAGTGCTCGAAATTTAAACCTTTCTATTACCTTTATTTTCCAATCAGACAACGACCCTAAACATACTGCTAAAATTGTGAAGGGATATCTTCTCTATCAGACTCCGCGACAATTACGAACTCCTCCACAGTCATCAGACCTTAACCCGATTGAACATTTGTGGGCAAAATTGGACAAACGAATTCGGAAACACAATATTACTTCCCGAAATGAGTTAATATGCAAATTGCAGGAAGAATGGGCGAAATTTACGTCAGATGATACACAGAAACTAGTCCAGTCAATGCCTAGACGTCTGCAAGCTGTTTTAAAAAATAAAGGGTACGCAACTAAATATTAAAATAACGCTAAAAACTTGCATTTTTCATTTTTTTCTTAAGTGTACGCAGACTTTATTGGAGTGTATTGCTGTGTTTTTTTCGTAAAAATTTATTTTTTAAAAAGTTTTTAAAATATTGCAGTTTTATTTTTGCTCTTTATTGTAGCTTACAATAGTAGCTATTACAGGAAAAAAAATCATACTGATTAAAATGTTTCTTTGATGTTTAAAGTGCTTTTTTAATTTTTATAATCAGTCCGTACCACGGTTTTCTACGGTTTTCTTTTTTACTTATTTGCACTTGCCTAAAATTAATATTAAAACTATTTTTATATCTATGATCTTTTAAATATTATTCCAAATTTTTAAAGTAAAAATTTTATTTTCAATTATTGGTATGATTTAAAAAGCATACGAAATTGCGATTTTAAATTCTGGGAAATTATAATTAATCTTTGTATATTTAATCATTATTTTTATAATTAAAAAAATATTAAAATTAATGAATTATTATAAATTCTACTTTTTTATCTTGCCTGACTAATTTATTTTTATTAGCCTGCCAAATACTACGCTTTTTGCAAGATGTTTTTTATGGTGGAAGACTTTTAAAGGCCGCAAAGCCTAAATTGCAGGGAACGTTTATGAATGGTTAAATTTTATAAATCCATTTAAACACAAATTACAATAATAAAACTTCCTAAAATATTAAGCCTGTTCACACTCCACCTCGTAAGAATACCATAAGCGGAAGGATACACCGGAAGTTTTCTAAATTTCTTCCGGTTTCAGAAAGCTTGTTATTGTTTACATTCAATCAACCATCCATAGTGCATTCTAAATTTAACCATTTATAAACTGTCTTCAGAAACCTTAGATTCTATTTTATTAGCATTTTTGTTTCGCCACATCGTGCTAAACAGAAAAAAAAATGGTTAGAAATAAATTGTCTATTTTTCAGTAAAGGATACTTTTTATTTATTTCTATATAATCATGCAACTCTAAATTAGTTAATTAATTTATGAAAAAACATAAAAAAATTTACCAGTTATTAATGAGGAAACTAGAGCTGAAATACATATATGGATGTAATAAATATCGCTGTCAGTTCTGCAAAAGTTTTGCGTTTCATGTGGAATTTGTTTGCTTCTGTGGATTAATGGATTATAATTCTTGTTCAGAAACTTTAAAATCAGTAAAACGTCAAAGAAACTCATGGTCCATAAGAATTTACAAAGCAAGTGTTAGAATAGTGATAAGAGTCTGAAAAATATAAAATCTGTTCTTAGCTATTGAAACATTACATCATTCAGATATTGCCTGTTTTTATCAATCAGCGGATTATGCTTATTGTTCAAGCATTTCAACAATTGTATAGTATAGGATTAGAATATAGGATCTCATCTGAATTTTCTCCAAAAAAAATATAATAATTGATAATTTTATAATGATATTAGCTGCCAACTTCTACGATTCTTAGTAAAAAATTTTCACATTAGTAGTAGAAAAGCAGAGCAAAAGTAATTAAGTTATACAGAGTTTTTGTAACATTTCATCAGGTTTATTACACGCGAAAGGTTTAAAATCGAGGTTTTTTTGTATAATTTTTTACGGAATTTGTTTTGTTTTTAGAATACAATAAATTCAAATAGATAATTTCAAACTCTAATTAAAATATCAAACCATAAAATTCAATACCACTGGAAAATATCGTTCGTAAAAATTGGCAGATATGATAATATAATAAATTCAAGACAGGTTTTATGAACAAAAACTCATCTCGAAACACTTAGCAAAATGAAATCTTAACACTATAAATAAAACGACATTGCTCAACTTAGTGACTAACTTTGCGATAATCCAAGCGTCATCCCAAAGTATTGTCTAATCAAGAAATTTTTTCAACTGTATTCCCCTGTGCTAATTAACTGATAAAAAGTTTACTTGCAGCTATTACTTGCACTGGCATTTATTACAGCATCTGCGAATTTTTACGGCCCCCAGACCAGGGAATGAAACCCTTTTTTTTAAATTTAATTTCTGAGGATCTAATCTTTTTTTAGTTTTTCTATTGCATGAAACGATCTCCCAAATTACCTAACATGTTTTTATAATTAAATACTCCACTACCACATTGCTTTAAAACAGAAATGTTTTTTTTTCTAAAAATTAAAAAAAAAAACAGGTTATTTACTAACAAATAATTTATGATAACAAATAAAGAGCTTGAACGAAAAATGAAATTTAATTCTACTTACACATATGAAATATCTAATAGGTATATATTTACATTCAGTTCGGTTACTTTGTTTCTAAGTTTCAAAATCTGACTAATATTCAACAATTTCGTAGTAGCATTTGAAATAAAATTATTTTAAGTTATTCTTATGCGAGCTCTAAATTAGGTAGAGAAGTTTTTATTTTAATTTAATCCTTTAATGTGTACTTGTACTTCAAAAAGAAAAAGAAGGTCATGATACCCACTCACATGACCT